CCCCTTGCTTAGATTTTTACTCTCTCCACCTCTCATCGCCTGCACTGGCGCTTGCAGCAGCAGCATCTCGAGGCTCTCCATCTGTTTGGAATTGTAGCATTCATTACCTCCGCATCAAACTGAATTTCCTCAGCACATTGCTGACAAATTAACAAAATCATTGCATACCTAGGGAAATTCGAAACCAGACTTACCGACCCTAGTTTTGGGATGTTTGACGGCGACCCTCTTGAAGACGCTCCTCCAATTAGGCTTAGCGAAATGGGACATGACCCTTGTCCCCGACACGACATCAACACCATTCTTGGCATGGTTCAGCGACTGAAGCATCGCGATCAGCGCAGACCTTGCGTCTCCTTCTTCGTATACGCTGGTACAATAGTTGTGCATCTCTATGACGTTGTTCAGGTCTGGCTCCGCCGCTTCGTCCATCACATTCTTGAACCACTCGAACGATCCTTGCTCTCTCGTCACCCAGTAGAAATAGGCTCTCCTTGTTCTGAAGCCCTCACGTTTCCTTGCAGGTGAAGAAGGGATGATGACGTTTCTGGATCTTGTCATTCTTCCGGCTGAATCTTCATCTCCTTTGGATCTGATGTTGTTGACTATGTCCCTGACGATGCTGATCATCGGAGTGGCTCCAATTCCTAGACCTACGAGTAGAACAACTTCGAATTTCTTGTAGTCTTGTGCTGGCGCTCCGTATGGGCCATCTATGAGGATTCTTGGGAAGCTGCGGGATTACCAGTTTCCGTTTCAGTGGCAAAAGTGGGTAAGTTCATCATTTTTCTTGCCAAGAAAGGAAAGGTAAGATACGACCAACTTTGCTAAACCGATTGGTAGACTTACTTTGGGATGCTATTCCCGTGCCTGTAGTCGTCTCTGCGCAATCCATGTTCTTCATCTAGAGTCTGCTTACAAGCCTGCAAAGAGATGAAAAATAAAAAAGGGAAATGCCTACTTAGCTATAGTTTCTGTAAAACCTACCAAAATCTTATATGTAGCTCTTATGTTTTGATTGTTGCTAACCAATGATTTGTGTAAGAGAAGTTCAGAATTTTTCAGGAAATTTCGTTCTCTGAGTTCGAAGATATTTCTAGCACCGACTTGTGTTTTGGTGAGACTATTATATAAAGTACCTCGGAGAATACTGATCTTAGCTGCTGAGTCCAGTCGCCAAGAACTCTGATGTGAACACTAAGATAGTCGTCATCTGGGGCCGAAGTAATCGAGAATGGATGCCTGAATATTTAACATATGCAGCCATAGTTCAGTTCATCTCCTAACTATGTCATTTTTGGATTTGAATGTGATGGAACCCCGCTCAAAAGTTGAGGTGTCCATGGTTTTGGATAGTATGAGAATCGTTACCATTCAAATGGAGAAACGGCAGAACAGTTCACGAACATGTATTGCCCACTCCTGTATCCGAAGTTGTGGGGTTTTGACATTTGAAGCGACAGGACATTCCCAGGATATACAGCAACCTGTTTGAGAATAAGATACATTGACATTCAGTATAAATCCAAGCCTGTTCCTTTAGATATTTCAGTTGGGAAATGTTAAGATTTAATTTTGGGGGTTTGGATTTGATAACATTTCACCTTTAGTATTGAAACAGCCTTAATACTCGACCTAAATGCTCGGATCAGCCTTTCAGACACATAAAGAACCACCGGTATCGCCATGTACATCCATGTCTACCAAATACCATGAAACGGTGTATATATCAGAAAAATATGGCCAATATTTTACAGGGTACCATCTAAAAGCAATTTAACTGACCATATATGATAAAACCCAAGTGATAAAAGTGTAAGCATGCTTACAGTTTTCTTGTACCACGTCTTGGTAAGGTACAGATAGTACCCGTGAACGATTAGCAGCGAATAGACAATAACAAACAAATGGTGAGAGTACCAGAAGGCGTTGAATCCAGTTAACTTCTTGAGTGGCCCTGGAAGCTTGAGCTTGCCCCGTCTAAACCATGGGGTAGCCAGTGTGAAGGCTATAGTCATTAGGACAACCATGGTGACTCCAGTTACTCCTTCCACTGACTCCACAAAATGCCAATACTTCTTTGCTTGTTTCCCGAAATACTTCTCCATTGGCTTATACGTCTCTTCATCTGCAGCTATCAGTCTTGGAAAATCACACGCTAAGTGAGATATAGCATGCATTCCGACCCCGAGTGAAATTGCCAATGCTATCACCTGCAAAAATGATCAACCCGTCAGCCAATCTTAACCACGGGTATTGTTTTCGAAACTTTTATGTGAACTTCTCTTCATGATCATACATCACCTTGTGAAAATTGAGATTGTCATCAAATGGAACAACAGCGTTCAATATGGTTTTGTTCCGGAGCCAGGTGATGGTGTTCCTGCAAACTGGTAGCAAAATCAGAGCCATGTTCAGTTTCAGCGTCTCTGCCGCTCCTTTAGCAATGCAAACACAAACTCCCATTACATCATAAGCTGCTCTGTTCTGGTACTGTATATACTTCCACGTGAACAAACCGGCCATAACGCCCATCCATAGAGCTATCACCCATACTCTCTTCCAATTGTCCATCACAAAGTACTTCATTCTCCTCCAGAAACGCTCGCCTGGGTTCCTGTATGGTGTTGGCTTGAGCTTCATACTTATCACCTTGCTTAGATTTTTACTCTCTCCACCTCTCATCGCCTGCACTGGCGCTTGCAGCAGCAGCATCTCGAGGCTCTCCATCTGTTTGGAATTGTAGCATTCATTACCTCCGCATCAAACTGAATTTCCTCAGCACATTGCTGACAAATTAACAAAATCATTGCATACCATGATGTACCCAAGGTTATAGGGATCTAGTTCTTCCATGATCAGAGCTGCATATTCATCTGCTCGTTTCTGGATATTAACCAGTTTGTTCGCCGAAGCACTGAGGCTTATAATCTGTACATGAAAGGGAATGCATTAGGCAATGCACAAAAAGCTATAGGCTCGTACAACCCTGTTATCTTCAATATCCATGTCCATGCAGTATAAGATTTAATCTACCTCTCTTACTTCGGCTTCAGTCAACCTTCCATCTGTGTCCCTATCGACCCTGCATTTCGTCACCAGTTAGTTCCTTCAAACAATAATACAAGCAGATTAGGAAATCGAAGAAGATCTCCAGAAAATTACATGTCAAAGAAAGTTCTTAGCCTCGAATCGAAACTTTGATCAGAAATCTGCTCCCAAAACTCTTTCAACAGCTTCTTGTTTATCAAGTCCCCCGTTATATTTCGCCTCCTCACCAATGCATCAAACAACGCCAATGCAAACTCCCTCGAATTCATCCCTGCAACAAAGTTTCACAAAATCCCCCTGAATTTCTTCTTCTCTGTAAATTCAAACATTCGATCACGCGCTCAATTTATGTTACCTATACATTCACCGAACTTGGAACGGTGAAGAAGTCCATTACTAGTCGTCGTAATCTGATCGAACCGTTTCTCCACGTCGGGCCAACCAGTGACGCCATCGGTCTTACTGATAAACTTGAGACCCTTGAGAGCTTGCTCTGCCGCTGACATCGAACGGCCGATCCGAGCAGGCGGCCGCGGTGGCTTCCTCGCCGTCGAAACAGAAGCAAACCTCTTCAACTCCTGAGAAACCGACGCTATGCGTTTCATCACCGAGCTCCGTTTCTCCAACCTGTTTGGATTCAGAAGCGACCTCTCCGGATTCTCGTACCCGTATTTTCCAAATTGATCCGATGATGTCACGCTGTGAACGGAGACGAAGTCGTCGTGAAAATCAAGCGAGATCTCCACAAACGGTTGATCTTCCACCGTCCTACTGTACGCCGTATTTCCAGAGATCGCCGACGTAGCACCGCCGGACCGAGTCTGTCCGCCATCGTGGTAGTAGAATCTCGCATTTTCGAACCCTAATTTCTCCATTTCCTCTTCAGGTAATAAAAATGAATATGGAATCAGGGCATAATAAGTAACGTTAACATCAGTATATATATATATATATATGAAGAAATAGTTAGAATACTTTATCTTTCTTCGAAGCAATTTTTTGGTCCAAAAAGCAGTAGTGAACTCTAAGCCAATTTTGTCTCTTTATATATACATACAGAAACATCACCAGCTTCGGCAACTGGGCAAAGAGGGAGAGAAGCCGACGATGATGAAGTTCTTCGTGATCGCTTTCTGGGTAATCTTCTCTTTCAGCAGAGAAGAACATCTAGAGGTAGAAATTGCAGAGAATCGAAGAAGAAACACTGGATTTCGAACGATTATCTGAGAGAATCAAACGAACAAAAGCGGCATGAAACGAGACTTGAACATCTTTCCCGCGCTTAGTAGTAGAACAGCTACACACACACATATATATGCGTGTATACATGTACGTACAACTATATAGTTGACCAATATAAAGAAATATTTTTTTTGAGAAAACACAGAATTAATTAATTAAATTTAATAATTCACGTCCAAAAGTAAATAATAAAAGATTATAAAACCACCAACCACTTGTTAAAATTAATCTTATATATAACTTACAAGAAAAGGTCCACGAAAATGTCATTATTACCAAGTATGCAATATAACAATACTTACTTTAATCTCATCAGAAACTGAATAAAAATAATAAATAATAACAAATAACAAATAACAAATAACATAACCCTATTAGGTATAGCCAAATTGCCAATTTTAAATTGAAGTAAACATAAAATAACTTTGTATTGTCGAATCCAGCAATTTTAATATACGATTAAACAATAAGCCTGCAGGTTTTCATATATTGACCAAAAAAAGTAATACAAAGACGGAAAATAGTTTAAATTATATATATATAAAAAACTGAACTTGGAATCAGGAATATGGCAATATCCAGGTCAAGGGCACTTGTACTCTTCTATCCAAACAGAACGTTTAGACGATGAAACGAAAAGAAAAGCTATAATAAAATAAATAAAGAATATGTTTTTTTGGTACCATGTAATTATTCATGTAGAGCTACACAATTAATGATCGATCAACGATTATATATATGTAGTTTTGTGATATATATGAAGCTTAATTCTTTAATTAATTAAATTACTGCTAAAAAATTCCTAATTAATTTTTTTTTATATAGTGGGTCACTTTTGCACGTGATCATGTCCGAAGCTAAAAATTAACGATTTTATAGTCAAGCTCAATTAAGCAAAAAGACAAATTTAAAGAGCAAAAAGATAATCACGGGTTTATAATTTCAAATCAATTAAGCCTAAAAAGGTAAATTGAAAGAGAAAAAATTCGTTTGCCAAAAATAAAATCAAAGGGGTTTTAAATGCTGAAGAACATAAACCACAGACAATAATAGCAAAACGATATGGTGCACCTGTTCTCCGTTGCCTAAACCCAGGCAGAAACCGAAACAATATTTACATATCTCTATATATATATATATATACTTTCTATACGTCGTTGAAAACAAATTAATAATACCCAAAAAATTATTTATTCCCTTTTTTCTCTTTTTCTTGGAATTTAAAGAAAAAGAAAAAAAAGAGGGAAATTAAAAGATGGCATATATGCATTTGAAATTAGTGGCAGTGCTCTTGGTTTTGGCCTCGGCGGCGGTTCTAACCGGCGACGCTACACCGATTCCGCAGAACAAAGCTCAACTGCAGCAATGGTTCAGAGCCAATGTCGCACCATTGGCTCAGAGGAAAGGCTCGTTGGACCCTGCCCTGGTTGCAGCCGAGGCTGCACCACGTGTCATCAGGGTACGAGCCCACCCTTTGTAAAAACCCCCAACCCTTCATAATTTTCAATATAATAACAATTGGTCAGGCCGAAATTGCAGGTGAACAAGAACGGGGGAGGAGATTTCAAGACGCTGAACGCAGCCATAAACAGCATTCCGGCGGGAAACACGAAGCGTGTGATCATCAAGTTGGGCCCCGGTGAATACAGGGAGAAGGTCACCATTGATAGGAACAAGCCTTTCGTCACACTGTACGGTCAACCCAACGCCATGCCCGTTTTGACGTACGACGGGACAGCCGCCAAGTATGGAACCGTGGACAGTGCAACTTTCATCGTCTTGTCCGATTATTTCATGGCCGTCAACGTCATCTTCAAGGTGTATATATATATATATACACACACACGTTTTTTAACATATAATGTCGCCATAATAACTATAATTATCGATTTTTTTTATAAATCTCTCTCTAGAATTCAGCTCCGATGCCAGACGGGAGGATGAAAGGAGCACAAGCCTTGGCAGCTAGGGTTTCCGGCAACAAAGCAGCATTCTACAACTGCAAGTTCTATGGTTACCAAGACACAGTCTGCGACGACATTGGCAACCATTTCTTCAAAGACTGCTACATCGAAGGAACTTTCGATTTTATCTTCGGGAGCGGAACTTCTCTCTACCTCGTAACTTAACCGATGTTTATATATAAACCGTTCTTAATCCTTTTGATCTTGTATGAAAATTGATGGAAATGTGTGTTTTGTTTTTGTTGCTTCAAAGAACACGCAACTAAACGTGGTGGGAAATGGAATCCGAGTGATCACGGCCGAGGCAGGAAAGAGCGTGTCCGACCCGAGCGGATACGTATTCGCACACAGCAGAGTGACGGGAACAGGAACTGGAATCTACTTGGGACGTGCATGGATGTCCCACCCAAAGGTCGTCTACGCCTACACCGAGATGACAAGTATCGTTGCCCCGGCCGGTTGGCAACAAAACAGCATTCCCGGCCGTGACAAGTACGTACATACATATACATACATCTACGTGAATATATATACATACTTGTGTGTACGTATATGAATGTGCGATGGTGTTGGAATTGTGCATGCAGGACGGTGTTCTACAGAGAGTACAAGTGTTACGGACCAGGCTCGAACATTGCGAAGCGCGTGCCCTTCACGCGAAGCTTGAACCCGACCGAAGCTGGTCATTTCTTGTCGCTTGGTTACATCCAGGGTTCTAAGTGGCTGCTTCCTCCTCCGGCTCTATAATTCACATTCATGCAATTCCCTTAATTGTGTTGTATTTTGCTTCCAATTCAATTCATTATTTATAAAGCATATATTTGCCATCGATTTTTGGAAATAATATTTTAATATTCAATCTCTCTGTATAATAATAGTTTATTCACACATAACTTTGAGGGGGGGGGGGAACCATAGCAATTGAGCATATATAGTAATTATAATGTTACACCAATTACACAAAATCCTACAAAAAATAGAAGAATAATTATTTTGTGGGATTAATTATAACTTGAAAAAGAAGAAAAATAAGCTGTAAGGGCAAATACACATGAAGATGGATTGATACTATTTAATGTGGTCTTGCATTAATGTACCAATCGGTCTATATATTAATATTGATATATATATACCCCCTCCATTTTACAATAAATGTTTTTTTTTTTGAAAATTTACCTTATTACTAAATAGATGTCATTTTAGATTTTCTAACTGTTTAATAAAATTTTCAATTTTATCCTTAATTAAAATAATTAATTTTAATAGAGTATTAATGATAATATACGTTCTTAAGGATATATTTAACTTTTTCTCTACTTTTTAAAAAAATTGTGATAAAACTTAAAACTACATCCATTTTGAAACGGAGTAAGTATTAAATAATTTAATATACGATAATCCATATATAGAAGAATGGATATATTATATATAGATCTGTCGCTTATTAAAGAATATAATAGGAATATCGGAGCTCAGGTATTTGCAGAAACAACTCCAGGTAGGGGTGGGCAAAATATCCGAAAAATCCGAACCGATTCGTTATTCGATTCGTATCCGAACCGAAAATTCGGATATCCGGAGTTTACGGATCGGATACGGATACTTATTTGAAGATATTTGTCGGATACGGATCGGATACGGATATTAAATTTAAATTATTCGACATATCCGATCCGATCCGTATTTTGTAATAATATTATTAAATATAAGAATAATTTGGTATGGAGATTTAAAATTCTTAATATTTACATGTTTTTTTAGGGTGATTCAAGAAAAATTTTATATATATTGAGGTTTATAATTTTAATTTTTGAATATTAAGATTTATTATGTTTAATGTTTTGAATTTTGAATATATTTGTATGTAATAGATTATAATTGTATTTGTATTTGAGTTGATTTGGAATGTTTAAATTATGAATTTTAAATTTGTGAATATTATTTATCTTAAATAGATTATATATTTTATTTACGTTTGAATTTTTTATTTAATTTAAATTTAAAATTTTATAATACTTTAGGTCGGATACGGATATCCGCAAATATCCGTGATTTTAACGAATATCCGAAGTTGCGGATATCCAAAAATTACGGATCGGATACGGATAAAAAAATCGAATATTTGTGCGGATCGGATACGGATACGGATATCTCAAAAATCCCGAATAACCGATCCGTGCCCGCCCCTAACTCCAGGGGAAAGAATGTTGTAATTAAGCTGTAATGGCGGAGTAATTTGTTAACACCTGCCCGTTGTCCGAAGCTAAAATTACCGGTTTACTGTTCAATTAATATATTGCAGTCAAAATTCCCCCCCAAAAACCGTCTATTAAAGGATCAAATTAGTCCTATTATTTGTTTTAATCCCTTAAATCAGTTGGTCAACCCAAAGGACTGTATTGGTCATAGAAAATAAATTGCCCAAAAAAAAAGTCAAAGAACTCACACGACATAAAATAATAATAATAGTAAACGGCAATAACAAGAAATTGTTTTTCTTTTTTTGATACAATGCCAATAAAGGTATAAATACTCCAACACTTCTTCGTCATGGTTAAAATTAAAAAAAAGGAGTAAAATCCCATTAGAAAATTTATTTATTTATTTGTTTATTTCTTATTCTTTTTTCTTTTTCTTTTTTGGTTCCCGTTTGGTAAGAAGACAACAAAAAAAGAAAGAACCATGGGGTATACGTGTATAGCATTGGTTGCACTGCTCATGGTATTGGCGTCACCACCACCGGCGGTTCTAGCCAACGACGTGACGCCGATTCCGGAGAACAAAGGCCAAGTGAACCCGTGGTTCAATGCCCAGGTTCAGCCATTCTCTCGCCGGAAAGCCACGTTGGACCCTGCCCTCGCCGCCGCTGAATCTTCGCCACGTGTCATTAGGGTAACACCAACCAACCCATGCACACCCGCCCACACTTCATCTTGTTCGAATCATCGATCATATATATACGGTGATTGAAAACGCGGGTACGTATGTCTGCAGGTAAATAAGAACGGAGGAGGCGACTTCAACACGTTGACTGCAGCTATAAACAGCATTCCCTCGGGGAACGCAAGACGCGTGATCATCAAATTGGGTCCTGGAGAATACAGAGAGAAGGTCACAATCGGTAGGACCAAACCCTTTGTTACATTGTACGGACAGCCAAATGCCATGCCGGTTTTGACATTCAACGGGAAAGCCACACAGTACGGCACTTTCAACAGTGCCACGCTTATCGTACTGTCCGATTACTTCACGGCCGTCAATATCATCGTAAAGGTATAATGCACTTCTTCGAATTTTAACCTAGTTATGATACAAGAGCATATGTTATACAAATATATATGTACTGATTTGCCTATATATATATACACACACACAGAACACTGCTCCAAAGCCGGATCCGAGGAGAGACGACGGACAAGCATTGGCAATGAGGATATCAGGAAACAAAGCAGCTTTCTACAACTGCAAATTCTACGGATTTCAGGACACGTTGTGTGACGACACGGGCAACCACTTCTTCAAAGATTGTTACGTGGAAGGAACCTTCGATTTTATCTTCGGAAACGGAACTTCCTTATACATTGTAAGTCTTTTTTTTAAAAAAAAAACAAACGATTTCTCGTTGATCAGTCCTGTATATACATCTTTGGACCAACATTTGATCATTTTTAGAATTTTCGTTGAAAAGGGTACTCTAATACACGCGGTCGGAAACGGAATCAGAGTGATATCAGCACAAGGGGCCCAGAGCGCGAAGGATCCGAGCGGGTACTCGTTCGTACACTGCAAGGTGACAGGGGAAGGAGAAGGCATCTACTTGGGCCGAGCGTGGAGGACTCATCCGAAAGTTATATACGCATATACCGAGATGACCAGTGTCGTTAACCCGGCCGGTTGGCAAAACAATACCGAGAAAGCTCGTCAAAAGTACGTATCTACGTGTATCTATATATATAGCCATGCATGCATGGGCCATGCAAAACGTGAAGACGTTAATTATTATTTTGAATGCGTGTGTATGTGTGTGTGACGCGTGTGCAGGACGGTGTTCTACGGAGAATACAAATGTTTCGGACCAGGGTCTCACCAAGAGAAGCGCGTGCCGTTCACGCAAGACATCGACGCCCAAGAAGCTGCTCACTTCCTGTCTCTCGGTTACATCCAGGGCTCTAAGTGGCTGCTTCCTCCTCCGGCCCTCTAAAAACATTACACGCCATATATGCTGAGCTATATTTCAATCTCAATATTTTTTTTATTATTTATTAACGAGAGATTCCACAAATTTTGTCTCGTATATATGGCGATTAATTTCTTTATGAACCACGTATAAATATATCTTGTTTTTTTTTAATACTTTGAAGTTTATGATATTATAATTTGTATTATCACAGTGACGTTTTACCGTATAACAAGATCGCCAATAATGGCACGTGGAATGTCACACGAATCATTTAGATAACGATCGTGAAATTTAAAAATAATAATAATAGACGGCTGTGTGCTATTGAATATAATATAGACACTATTTGGTAATTTCGGGCTTTTAAATTACCAAAATAGAAAATAGTCAAATAATTTTCGTGTAGATAACCCGTTCCATCCATTCATGCCGACTTTTCAAATGTTCATATTTATACTATAAAAATATACACAGAGCGATTTTAAAATACCATAGATTTGTGGTATGATTTTGTTGTGTTCATTTCAATTTTAATTTTGAATGACTCTTTCTAATTTATTATATGTTATATTTCCCTCCCAAAAAGAATAAAAACAAGATGAGAAAAGAAATAACATTACAATTTATCGCAACTATACAATTAGCGTTATATATATATATATTGCATTTATCATCCTATTATTATTCAATTAGCGGTATATATATACTATTATACTGTACATTTTTTTTTGGGTATTTCATTAGATATGTGACGTGGCGACTCTACCTTTCCAACATATATCAGCCACCGATATATCCCCCTCCCCCCCATTTTATTATCATGATTAATCATCAATGTTATATAATCTAACACAATGGCCTACCAAAATTATATCTCCTGATCCTCTAAGCAATCAACGACAGCGACATTATAATATGAAATAATAATTAATTCCATATTATACCGATTATAATTTTTATAAATTAAATATATTCGACAAGAAAATTATTTTGAATCAATGAAAAAACATAAAAATATACATAATGTAATCTTATAAAAAAAACATTTACTCGATTAATTAGACGTATGAATTCTCAAAAATCAAACTATGACACGTTACGTTGCGGTCAAGATAATACAAAAACATGATTTGGATTAGGCCATCGAGTCGCCGCGTCACTGCCAGGTAAGCAGAGAAGTCGCCCTCCAATAAAAAGGGTCGGTAGGCAAATTCTGCAACGTGCGCCGCTTCGCACCGGATCGTGACATCACAACAGATGCGGGCCGTACGATAGGACACGTAGATTCAGAATCCAGTTCCAAAATGGACGGTGCAGATTCATTCACAAGTTGCAACGCGACCTTGTCTCTACGCAGCGAATCTTTTTTCTCCCAATATCTCCTCCTTGTTTTCCGCATTTATCCCTTTAAACATCAACGGTCAAAATATTTTTTTTTCCTTCACGTTTTTTCATTATTATTTACATCTCCAACCCAACTTGCTCACGTTTTCTTCATAAGAATCTTTTTTTTTTTCCTATTAGCAATGTTTTTGTATTTTTTTAACCATTTTCAAGTAATTTTTTGGGCAGCGTTTTCCCTTAAATGGCTTCACAAAGTCATTAAATTTGTCAACCTAACATATTATTATATATTCCATCCGTTTCTAAATATCGTTTAAAAATTTTCCACAATTCTTAAAAAAATATAAAATGTCATATATATATATCTTCATTAAACAACATTTATTGAATAACACAAAATATTCTTGAAAACCATATATATATTTAGAAAAGAGAGGGTATAATATATATATATATATATACACACCCACCCACCCATGAATAGATGAGAAAAACTTGAAAATTTCCTAGCTAGATATATAAACTCCCTAAATTAATTAATCACCACCAATAAAAACCTACACAAACACACCTACAATGAAAAATATATCGTCTCCCCAAAAACAGAGAGCCAAACAAAGAAAATGACAGTAAAACCTGTCCCAGTTCCGACCTTTTCGGGATCCATAGATACTTTTGATTAAAATCAGATAAATCTTTTCCTCTACAATTAGAGGGGAAAGAAAATCACGCGCGCACAAAAAAAAAAAGGGGCAATTTAGCGAGAAGGGGTAATAACGTCATTTAACAGGCGAAGGAAATTTGGGATTTTTCCTCGTGTGGACCCATCCGTCAAAGAGGCAAATTCATTGTCTCTCGTAGAGTTCGATTTGGTTATAAATACCGACTCCTTTGTTCTTCCATCTCAGAACCAAAATCCTAATTCACTGTTTTTTTCTTCTTCTTTTCCCTCGACGTTTTGATTTCTGCGGGTTAATTCCCCCGCCGGGTTACTGAAAACTCTTTACTTCTACCGCATTCCAGGAATTGTTTTCCTTTTTTTTTTTTTTTTTGGATTTTTAGGAGATCGCTGATTTCCCGATCACTTGATCTTTTGTTCCAAGTTTCGAGGGAAAATAACAAAAAAAATTTGAGAGATGAACGCTCTAGCTGCGACGAGCAGGAACTTCCGCCATGCAGCGAGAATTCTGGGCTTGGATTCGAAGATCGAAAAGAGCCTTTTAATCCCATTTAGGGAGATCAAGGTTTGAAAGCCCTACGACTTTAAGAAACAAAAAAAAAAAGATTGAATCTTTTGACTTTTTTCTTGCGAAATTTGCTTGCTTTGAATCCGTGTCGATTTGGGTTTTTTATTTTTATTCGGGGTTGTGTGATCAGGTGGAGTGCACGATACCAAAGGACGACGGAACTCTGATGTCGTACATTGGATTTAGGGTTCAGCACGACAATGCTCGTGGGCCCATGAAAGGAGGGATCAGATATCATCCTGAGGTTTGATCTCTTCAACTCTTTTGTTTTGGGATTTTATCTTTTGCTGGGATCTTTCAAGGGTGGTTGCTTTTTTTCTTTGGGCTGAAAAGGTTTAATTTCAGCTCTCATGTAAACTTTTGGTTTCTTTTTGCCTTTTCTTCTTTTATTTTGGGTTTGTCACTCTGCTCCATTGTTGCAGCTCGAGCTTGGATTTGAAAAAAAAACAGGTTTGAGGTCTGATTGTGATGACGTTTAATTGAAATATCACCCATAAGACGTTGAATCTCTTGTTTTTGTTGCTGTCTCCTTTGTCTAAATCCAAATTGCCAAAAATTATCCTGGTCGGTTCTGGAAATCTTCTCGGTTCTTGTCTGATTATGTTGATCGACTCAGCCCAAATGAAATGGTCACGGACAAAGGAAAAACAACTGGATTTTCGATAGTGCTTTCCGTTTGAAAGTTTGGCGTTTTTAACCTGAAACAAGTGTTTTGTTTTAAATCTTAAGTATGTTTATTTGGTTTTGTTTGGTGAAGGTGGATCCCGATGAAGTGAACGCCTTAGCTCAGCTGATGACATGGAAGACGGCGGTAGCAGACATTCCGTACGGAGGTGCAAAGGGTGGAATCGGTTGCAGTCCCCGGGACCTGAGCATGAGCGAGTTGGAGCGTCTGACCCGTGTCTTCACTCAGAAGATACACGATCTGATCGGTATTCACACCGATGTTCCAGCTCCCGACATGGGCACTAATGCTCAGACTATGGCTTGGATTCTTGATGAGTACTCCAAGTTCCATGGCCACTCACCGGCTGTTGTCACTGGAAAGCCCATTGTAAGTGCAATGACTACTTCTTCTCCTTCCCTGGTTATGCCATTAATTAATCAGTCCCATCGGGGGTCATTTTGGTTGAGCTTTTGGATGATACTATACTCCCCCCCTGGCTGTAGGATCTTGGTGGGTCGCTCGGTAGAGAGGCAGCCACGGGGCGAGGTGTTGTCTTCGCCACGCAAGCTCTGCTTGCCGAGTATGGGAAGTCGATCAATGGCTTGACGTTCGTTATTCAGGTAAACACCAGATCCGTCCTGTTAAAGAACACAAAAGAAACGGAAGAGAATGATGGTTTCGGCTTGTCTGAATATGGTGGGGTGGCAGGGTTTCGGCAATGTGGGAAGTTGGGCGGCAAGGTTGATACACGAGAAGGGCGGAAAGGTGATTGCCGTGAGTGATATAACAGGCGCTGTCAAGAACCCTGACGGTATCGACATTCAAGCACTGTTGAAACACAAAGAAACAACCGGCAGTCTCACCGACTTTGACGGCGGCGACGCCATGGCTCTCGATGAATTGCTCGTCCATGAGTGTGATGTTCTCATACCCTGCGCCCTTGGCGGTGTCCTCAACAGGTCTTAACTCCGATCCCATACATCGCTCTCTCTTATCGATCCTGCAACTTCTGACCGGTTTATGTTTGTTGTCTG